GCTATTATAGGGGCCGGCCCAGTGGCAGAGCAGTCAAGTTCGCATGCTCCACTTCGGTGGCCTGGGGTTCGTGGGTTCAGATCCTGGGCATGGACCTACACATCACTATCAAGCCATGCTGTGGTGGCATCCCCCATACAAAATAGAGGATAATTGGCACAGATGTTAGCTCAGGGCCAATCTTCCTCACCAAAAAAAAAACTATTATACATATACTCTATATTTTCAAGTTGTCATTTTTCTATTCATCTCATACTTTTCTGTAGTTTATTCTTTGTTAGACTCAACATAAAAGAGCTCATGGGGAAAATTTTCCCCAAATTCTTGCACGTTCAAACTGTTGCATTTATACTTTAATGACAAACCACCTAGGCCTGAATCTCCCAATTTGTGGGAAGATTCTTGATGACTAATTCAGTTTCTTTAGTGCTTATAAGACTTCTCACATTTTCTGGGTTTTTTTCCTTGAGTGGAGATTTCTGTAGATTAAAATTTTCTAATAATTTATTTCACTTGATTTTTCAAAGTTTTTGGCATAATGTTTATCAAAATATTATTATAATTTTCAAGTCTTCATGGCCTGTAAAGAGGTCCCCTTTTTTGCTTACGTAGATATTTTTCTTGATTCATCTTGAGAGAGTTGCACCAATTTTATCAGTTCTTTACGATAATCAAAATTTATGGTTGTGACATGCTCTTCCTTATGTTTGGTTTTTACTTCATTAATTTCTTGTCTTTCCTTTATTATTTCCTTTCTTCTACTTTCTTTAAGTCTACTGTGCTCTTCTTTTCCTAACTTATCAAATGGATGATTAGCTTGTTAATTTTCAGCATTTTTCCTGGGAACAAAAGATCCATTTGGAGAGGAAGCTTGAAATCAAAACAGATAAGCAACAACAATCAAAAAGAATGGTGTATTGGCCCTGAGGCTCTACGACCACTTGTCCCCTGGAGAAACTCACTGATTCTGAGTACAGCTGGAGGTACAGGCACAGCGATGCAAAAGAGGGAGCTGAGTAAAACCAAAACTGAAACCCAGCACTGACCCAGCTACATCCCTGCCATTCTATCAGACTACTAGGGAAAATGTAGATACTCCCTGGTAGAAGATAGCATCACCTGGAATCTCTTCAGTTCTTTTGTACACAATGTCCAGCACACAATCACAATTACTAGTAACTTGAAGAGGCATTACCATATGGTGGACAACAAGAGGGAAAAAAGAATTGATAGAAGCAGACCCATGGATGATACAAAAAAGGAAGGCATACTAGAATTCCAAAATAACTATGATTAAAATATTTAAGAAAACAGATGAAATGACAGTAGTGAAAAGAAAGTAAATAAAAGAATGAAGAATTTCAACAGATAATTGGAAGTCATAAAAGGCAATCAAATTGCATTTCTAGAACTGAAGAAAACATCTGATATGAAAAACTCCTCTTTAGGAGCAGACTGATCACAGCAGAAGAGGATAAGTGAGCTGGCATACAGGGCAACAGAAAACAATAGACAGAAAAGAAGATAAATACACGATAGAACTGTGAGATATGCTCAAACGATCCAACATAGGTATAACTGGAGTCCCAGGAGAGAGGAGAGAATGATCAAGTATTTTCCAAAAACTGAACAAAGACTTCCACTTCTGAGTAAAATCTATCAAATCAGTGCAAGCCAACATTTCCACAGCTATAAGTACAAAAAATAATATTCAAAAAGATAATGATCTTGATTCATTCCACCACTGTAAAAATTACCAAGGCTTTTTTGTAGTAAAGAGAAATAACCCGCTCTCCATATAGGTGCACCAGCAATTAAAATAGAATATTTAGAGACATTCTGAACATAAATATAACATGAAATTTGTTTTCTTTGCCAGTAGCTATGCATAAAAAAGTTCCAGAATTCAAACCTTTAGTCCTTTAGAAAAAGAAGCAATTGCAGGATGGGGCAGAGAGAGGTAGGAAGGTAATGAAGGATAGGGAAGATTCAGGTGCTCAATGGAGGTGTCCATTTCCATCTGTCAAAGCTCAAACTCATTCTTGGAGAATATGGAGCAGAAATTTAGCTGGTTTCTTGGCCTAGAGCATAAAATATACAGCAGAGAAAGCAGATATTCCAGGTAGCAGATTCTACATCATTTCAGGAAGATGTCCTTACCCAGTGAGGCCAAATTCGTATAGTTCTCCAGCATCACATCTCTGTACAGACCCCTCTGAGCTGAGTTCAGGCATTCCCACTCCTCCTGAGAGAAGTCTATGGCAACATCACTGAATGTCAATGGCACCTGAAATGGCAAACCCACGTGTTACTTGTAAAAATAAAAAAATTTTCAGGATGGAATACTGAATTGCAGTAAGGAGGCAATATATAAAAACAAGTAGGCTGAAGTTATAAGATGATGATGTAGTTAGATGAGAATAAATTAATTGTGCTACACAATCTTGAAGAATCCTGTTGGAGTACACAAAATTTTTTTTAATATACAAAAACTTAAATATCCAAATGTATAAAAATAAATACAGTAATCAGACTTTCCCAGTTAAAGGAAACAGTATATATAAGCACACTACCTGCTATGTACCTACTCATAGACTATTAATAAATGCAAGTTCTTACATTTTTTCTCTTCAAGGAATATATAAAAAGAATTGGTACTTTTTTCCCCCAAAATGAATTATCAAATCTCTCCCAGCCAAAATAGAAGAACACAGATTGAATTTACCCTCACACATGAAGCAACCAAAAACTTGACCAAAATATACGAAATGATGGTTTTCAAGGCAGAAAACACTGGGCAATGAAAAACTGTGATCTCTAAGAGACAGGTAACCAATGAAGCAAACCCTATGATGGGCCCAGCTTACTGCCAAGAGAAAGTACAACTACACAACTATTAGAGTGGCTAAAATTAAAAAGACTGACCATTTTAAGTGTTGGTGAGGATGTGGTAAAAATGGCACTCTTATACACGGCTGGTGGGAATGTAAAATGGAACAATCACTTTTTTTTGTTTTAAAGATTTTATTTTTCCTTCTTCTCCCAAAGCCCCCTGGCACATAGTTGTGTATTTTTTTTAAGTTGTGGGTCCTTCTAGTTGTGGCACGTGGGATGCCACCTCAGCACGGCTTGATGAGCAGTGCCATGTTCAAGCCCAGGATTCGAACCGGTGAAACCCTGGGCCGCCAAAGCAGAGCGAGTGAACTTAACCACTCAGCCACAGGACCAGCCCTGGAACAATCACTTTGAAAAAGAGTTTATTGGTTTCTTAAAAAGTTAAACATCCATACGACCCAGCCATTCCACTCCCAGTGTTTTACCCAAGAGAAATGAAGGCATATGTCCACACAAAGATTTGTGCATGAAGGTTCCCAGTAGCTTTATTTGTAATAGCCAAAAAGTGGAAAGAACCCAAATGTCCATCAACAGAGGAATGGATAAACTGATTGTGCTGTATCTTGAGAATAGAATACTAGTCAGCCATAAAATGGAATGCACTAGCAATATATGCAACAACATGAATGACTCACAAAATAAATATGCTGAATAAGACAGACCAAAAACAAGAGTACATACTGTATGACTCCATTTATATAAAATTCTAGAAAATGCAAACTAACCTATAGTGACAGACAGCAGAACTGGGGTCCCCTGGGCACTAGGGCAGGGTGGGGGAGGCAGGGAGGGGCAATTATAAAGGGGTGTGAGAAAAATTTGGAGTGATGGATATGTTCATTATCTTGACTGTGGCGATGGCTTCACACGTGTATACATATGTCAAAACTTATCAAATTTTACACTTCAAATATGAGCAGTTTATTATCAATTATATTTCAATACCGCTGCTTTAAAAAGACAAAATACATACACTTAATTATATGTCAATTATACTTCAAAAAAACTGATAAAGTTTCTACCTTAGGAAATACAATTTCTATAAAATTAAGTAATTTTATCAAGACACAAGTTTATTACATGTCAGATCAGGTCACAAGCATTTCCTTTATTCTGACTAATGTTTTCACTTAGTCCCTCGTATAGATATCAGATTTAATCTTTCTTAAAGTATTAAGGTATTAATGATAATATTAAAATATAACATATTATACTATTACGATATTTAGGTTGGACACAAATCCTAACCTCCTGCCCACAGTTCAGTTTCATCTACCGCGTGTAGTTCTAGATGAGCTTCCTCTCTACAATTCCTTCCTGAACTCCTGCTGCTGAGTTAGAACACACCAACGTACACCGATCCAGAACAACACGGATTCACTCAAGACCAGCAATTTCACTTCCAATACAAAATGGACCCTGATACCTTATTTATTTCCCAATGATTCCCTAGCCAGATCCCTGATCCCTCTCTAGGCAGGCACCAATCCCATTTCGACCCGACCCTAACAGCCTTTCAAAGCTGAGGTCTCATCTCACCCTGAGACCGAGACCACTCGTAACCCAATGCTCCCTTATCTACCTGGAAAACTAGGAACAATGTTTCCCTGCTGTGGTCAAACAGGACCATCGCCTCCATATCATGAAACCACGAAGCTGACAAGCGAAGCTCAAACACTTCCTTCCAAGTGCCTCACTCCTTCACTGCTCCAGCCCTGGTCTGGACAGGAGACTGAATACACAGAAGATGAATGAATTATTGATGGGTAAGTGCAAATCATTCAAAACAAGGGAGCAAATGGGGAGGACACCACCCTTCTGGAAGGGGAGAAACTCTGAAATAGGTTCAGAGACACAGCTTCGCTAGGTAGGAGCTTAGGGGATGACAATATTATAGTAATAATAATAATAATAATAATAATGTTTTCACATATTGAGGTATTTGGGGAAGCATTCTGGCTTAACCCTGATTCAACCGAAAACTTGTTTTTCCCATAGCAGCCTGACTTATAGCCCACCAAAGGTGCACTGTACATCTGCTTCAAACTTTTTCCCAAAGCGAAGAATGCACTCTTTAAAGATAGGGGTGAAAGTCTCCCTTCCTCTGACACCAGTATCAGTCATTCTCTGAAGATCAGCTTTTCTTCCCAGAGAACCAAGGTCAAGTTGACCTGTTGTGTATCTGCTAAATTGCAGCAAAACGTCTCCTTGTGACTTTGGGGAAAAAATTGTATTCCCGTCATGCTTGGTGTATGTTCTTTGTTCTGAAATGGGATATAACCATGCTGAAAACCACACTTCTCTGGAGTGCTGTCTTCCCTGGTGGAGACTGCACTTCTGGGCTAGTCCTCAGCATTGGATCAATAAGATCAATCTTACCTATAGGTTGGTTATTGATTATCTGTGTTGACAGCGATAAAGAATGAAAATATTACATGAATTAAAAATCATACTATTTCAGGAAGGAGAAAGAGGCATCTACTTACCTGGGCCATGGTTTTAGGGCTGCCGATCCTCCTCACGTTTCCTCTACTAGAGAAGCAGAGTTCAGAGAAGCCAGGGCTGGGGGAGGAAAAAGAGGCCTTGAGACTTGGTGTATCTCAGAACTCCAAAAATTATTAAGGTAAGATACCCTTTCTTTTTCCTTCTTTATTCCCGCTTTCTGCTGTCCCTGCCCTCTCCCTGCCCTCCCAAAACACATAAACACACGTCAGGGGATATGAGAAGCCCCGACAAAGCCCAGCCCTTCCCCATGCCTAGGGAAACAAGCCACACAGTACGGATCCAGAGCAGGCACTCTTGCAGCACAGCCAGATCCAGATCCCCCACTCTGGCCTGTTCCTCATTCTGATCATGCCAACAATACCCCAGCCCTGGGTTGTTTAGTCATACTGAGTAGATGCTCCAGCATCAGGGCATACCTTCAGGGTCAAGGCCAGGCCATACAACACAAACCTTCATGGCCTCGGGATGGACCTGGACTCCACCAGACAACAAGCAGAGCACAGTAGAGACCAACATGGAAAGCTTTACCACCATACAACTGCATGTCCACATGAAGCCTGTCCCCTAAGCCAGAACTATGACTCCCAAGATCCACTGGGCTAACCAAGCTGGATTTCCCTACCGGCATCCACTTTGTTTGCTGGTATGAACCACTGCCTGTGCCCCCTGCTCCCAACCCAACGAGGACCCACTAGGGAGGAGTGAATTCACACTCACTGAAGCTGTATGCAACACACAGACTTTTGCAACCTTCTTTGTGATAGGCGCTCTATACACATGAACATTTAATCCTGCAACGTACTTATTATCTCAACAGACGAGGAAATGGGAGCTCAAAGAATTAAAGACATTTGCCCATATCACAAATAATAAGTAAAAGTGATATGTTTTGAATCACTTTTCTGTAATTATAAAGCCACCTTTTTTTTCAACTGTAAAACATCACCTACTAAAAGTTTTACTAAGGGGATATTTTTAAGCAATAAGATACCATCATTTTATACGTATTCAATTGTCAGATTTAAAAGGCTGAGGATACACTGTATTTTAGTAAGGTTGTAGGGAAAAGGGCACTCTCAAGGTGTCCTGTAAACTTGTGAAAACCTAGCGCAACTGAGACATGTAAGCAGAATGCTGCATAAGAAGAATTTAACCAGGAAAGGTGATTTCTCAGACTTACCCAAGGGAAATAACTGTAAAACTTATCTAGAGATGTATAAAGGAATATAATAGACACTAGTTAAAATGAAAAAAAGCTGGAGAAAATCTAAAAGTACTTGGATAGTTAAATAATAAACTATAGCGCATCCATATAATAGAAAATGAGGCAGATATTGAAAATGATTGTGCAGACCGCTGGCTCTCAACAAAGGGTGATTTTGCTCCCTGGGGAACATTCGGCAATGTCTGGAGACTTATTTGGTCGTCAAAATGTGCATGGGGTGCTACCGTATCTAGTGGGCAGAGATCAGGGATATTGCTAAACATCCTACAAGGCACAACAAAGTCCCCCACAACAAAGAGTTATCTAGCCCAAAATATCAGCAGCGCTAAGGTTGAGAAGCCTTAGAAACCTGATGTAGACTTATTAAAGGAAGATAACCCAATCCAGAGTCTCTAATTATCCACAATGCCAGCATATAAAAATTATTAAACACACAAAGAAAAAGGGAAAAGTTACTGATAAGGAAGGAAGAAGTCTCAACAGAAACAGATCCAGAGATTATCCAGGTAATGGAGCTGGCAGACAAGGACTTGAAAATATTATGACTAACGTGCTCAAGAAACTAGAGGAAAAGACGGGCAAAGAGAAATGCAAAATGGAGGATATCGTTAGAGATTCGAAATCTTAAAAAAGAGAATCATATGAACATTTTATAATTACAAAAATATAATATCTAAAATTAGGAATTTATTGGATGGACTTAACAACAGGAAACAGTATTGATCAACACAAAGTAAAATTAACAATAATCTTATGCAGAGAGGGAAAAAAGAAAGAACTGAGCCGAACATAAGAGAAAATACAGGAAACCATCCAAATGTGAAATCGAACAACTAAAATAAGACAGAATGGGACAGAAAAATTACTTGAAGAAATAATGGACAAAATATTCCCAATCTCACAAAATACCTTGATACATAAATCAAAAAGCTCAGCAAACCTGACCAAGATAAAATAAAGAAATCCACACCTAGGCACAGCAAAGCCAAACTGCTGAAAAACATATCTTAAAAGTACATAGTTAAAAAAAAAAGACATTGGTTATAAGAAAACAATAATAAAAAAAAATAGTTCTTTTCTCAACAGAAACTCTAATAGCCTGAAGAAGGGAATTATATATTTAAAGTGTGGAAAGAAAAAAACCTGAAAACTCTGAATTTTATACCCAGAGAAAATGACTTTCAGAAATGAAAGTGAAATAAAGGTTTTTTTCAAACAAAAGCTGAATTTCCTATCAACAGACCCCCAATATGAGAAATACTAAAGGAGAACGTTTAGGCTAAAGGAAAATAATTCCAGATGTGTAAAAAAGCAATCAACAGCTGTAGGCATAGTAAACATATAAGTAATATGACTAAACAAATGGGCTGTTTAAAGCAACAAAAATAATAATGCTTTGTGGGGCTTGTAATAGAGGAAGAAGGAATGACAATTACAATAACCAGCAAAAATGGTGGAAAAGGTAAATGGAGTTACATTATTGAAATGTTCTTAAGTTATCTGGTATGTGGTAAAAGCCCTAATTTTAAGGAGACTGTATTAAATATGCATCTTATAATATCTCTGGTAACTGCTAAAAGAATTAGACAAAGATGTATAACCAAAAAAGCTAACAGAGGAGATAAGTGGAATAACGAAAAATATCTGATTGATACAAAACAGGGCAGGAAAAGAGGAATAAAGAATGAATGGGACAAACAGAAAACATTAGCAAGATGACAGACTTAAACCACACTTTATGAGTAATTGTAGTAAAATGTGAATGGACTAAACATTGCAATTAAAAACTAAGATTGTTAGAACAGATTAAAAAGGCAAACAGGGTCCATTATGCTGCTTACAAGAAACATACTTCAAATATAAAGATAGATGTCTTAAGGGGCTGGCCTGATGGCGTAGTGGTTAAGTTTGCATGCTCCACTTTGGTAGCCAGAGATTCGCAGTGCAAATTCCGGGGTGCAGATCTCTGCACTGCTCACAGGCCATGCTGTGGCAGCGTCCCATATACAAAATAGAGGAAGACTGGAACAGACATTAGCTCAGGAATGATCTTCCTCAAGCAAAACGAGGAGAATCAGCAACAGATGTTAACCCAGGGCCAATTTTCCTCACCAAAAAAAAAAAAAAAGATATTTTAAAAGTAAAAGAGTGGAAAAATATATTAGACAGTAATTAGAAAAACACTAGTATAAATATTTTAGTAACAGATAAAATAGAATTTAATGCAAGACGTATTATAAGTAATAGAGATGTTTCCTCTAATTCAACAAGAATATAATGGTAGTCCTGTATTTGCTATGTACCTAATAAGGTACCTTCATAATATATAAAGCAAAAGTCAACAGAATTAAAGGGTAGACAAATTTATAATTTAAGTTAGAGATTTAATGCCCTCCATTGGTAATTAATAATAGGAAAAGTGGAAAAAAATCAAGAAGGCCACAGAAGATTGAATAGGATTACCCAAATTGACCCAACTGAACATTATACTCCCAAACTACAGACTACACATTCTCTTCAAATGCTCACAGCATATTTGTCAGATTAATATTCTAGGCCATAAAACAAGTATCCATAAATTTCAAAGGATTAATATCAAAGAATGTATATTTTTTTGAAGCCCTAAGAATTAACTTGGAACTCCTAAACAGGCATTTTTCAAACGTTTCCAAATATAAAAAGTTCATTCTTAAATAAGCATAGATCAAAGAATAAATCATAATAGGAAGGGCCAGCACTGTGGCCAAGTGATTAAGTTCACACACTCAGCTTTGGCGGCTGAGGGTTTCACCAGTTCGAATCCTGGGCACGGACATGGCACCGCTCATCAAGATACGCTGAGGCAGCGTCCCACATGCAACAACTAGAAGGACCCACAACTAGAATATACAACTATGTACCAGGGGGCTTTGGGAGAAAGAGGAAAAATAAAATCTTTAAAAAAAAATCATAATGGAGGGGCTGGCCCCGTGGCTGAGTGGTTAAGTTCGCGCTCTAACGCTGCAGGCGGCCCAGTGTTTCGTTAGTTCGAATCCTGAGTGCGGACATGGCACTGCTCATCAGACCACGCTGAGGCAGCGTCCCACATGCCACAACTAGAAGAACCCACAACGAAGAACAACGAAGAATACACAACTATGTACCGGGGGGGCTTTGGGGAGAAAAAGGAAAAAATAAAATCTTTAAAAAAAAAATAAATAAATAAATAAATAAAAAATCATAATGGAAATACAAGATATTTTGAGCTGAATGATAATGAAAGTCTCAAAGCCTGTGAGAAGCAGCCAAACCAATGCTTACAAAGGCATTTTTAGCTTTAAATGTATGTTTTATAAAAGCAGAAAGGTTAAACATCAGTGACCTACCCTTGGAAGCTATAGAAGGAAAAGCAAATTAAGCTGACAGAAAGTAGAACACACTAAAAGAAACCAATGACAAAAAAACCTCCCAGATACACAACAGAGAAAAATCAAGAAGGCCAAAATCTCTATCATTAAAGAGATTAATCAGATTGAAAAACCTCTAGCTACACAGATCAAGAAAAAAATGTCAATATCAGGAATATAAAAAGAGACATCACTACATATATTACAGACCTTATCTTCATAATGGAATTTTATGAACAATTTGTGACAACAAACTTGAGAATGTGGATGAAATTAAAAAACTCCTTGAAAACACAATTTAACTAAATTGATATGAGAAATGGAAAATCTGAATATTGTTTTATTTATTAAAGAAATTAAATCCGTGTTGAGGACTTTCCCATAAAATGTCAGGCCCAAAGACTTCAGAGGCAAATTCTCCCAAACATTTAAGGGATTAAAAATACTAACCAAACTCAATCTTTTTCAGAAAATAAAAAAAAATGGACCATGTCATGAGGCCAGCATAACTGTGATATCAAAACCTGACAAGGACATTGCAAGAAAGGAAAATTAATTATATTTCTCTCATGAACATATTAAACAAAATAACAGCAAGGAGAAAGCAGAATATATATGACCAGGAGATTTATTCTAGAAATGCAAAGGTCATTTAATTTTCAAAAAGCAACCAATGTAGTCTTCCAACTTTAAATAATAAAGGAGAAAACCGTTCAATCATTTCATTAGATGCCGGAAAAACCATTTGATAATATTCACCATCAGTTCATGATAAAACTTCTCAGCCAACTAGCAAAGGAAGGGAACTTCCTTAATCTGATAAAAGGGATCTACAGAATCAAACTATAACTATCATTTCATGAGAGATGAAATATGGACCACGTTCCTTCTAAGTTCAGGAACGTGGCAGGGTTGTCCACTCCTACCACTTCTATTAAACTTTGTACCAGAAGACCTATCCGAGACCATAAGGGGAAAAAACTGAAAAGAAAGGTATGAAGGTTGGAAAGAAAGAAGTAAAACCATCTTTATTTGCAGATAACATCATCTTGTACATAGAAAAAAATGTTCAATTCTACAAACTATTAGAATTAATCAATGAATTTATTAGCAAAATTGTTGAATAAAAGGTCAATGTATTAAACACAACTGTCCTAAAGTAAAGCTATTGAAAAATGAAATTTGAAAAATCCCAACAGTTCATAAAAAATATAAAACACTTTGGAATAAATCTAACAAAGGACGTGCATGACCTTTAGATTGAAAACAAAATAGCAATGAAAGAAATTAAAGAAGAATTAAATAAATGGAAACATATTTTACCTTCATGAATAGGAAGAATCAATTTTAAAATGATCAATTCTCTCTAAATTGATCTATTGATTCAATGCATCTCCAACAAAGTATCAGCAGGGTTTTTCCTGAGAAAATTAACAAACTCATTCTAAAATCATATGGAAATGTAAAGAACCTAGAGGAATCAAGGCAATTTTGAAGAACAAAGTTGTCGAACTTATATTACCAGATATCACGACATAATATAAAGCTACTGTAATTAAAACAGCAGTACTGGCCCAAGGATTGACAAGTAGATCAAGGGAACAGAATAGAGAGGCCAGAAAGAGACTTGCACACATAGTTACGTGATTTACAATAGAAGTCTGATTGCAACTAGGAGCAGAAAGGATACTCTTTTCGACAAATGGTGCTCAAGCAATTGGGTATCTGTATGGAAAAAATGATTTTGACCCTGATCCCACTACATACACAGACATAAATTCAAGACGGATCACAGGCCTAAATGTGAAAACTAAAACAATCAAGCTTCTGGAAGAAACAGGAAAATATCTTCATGATCTCGGGGTAGGCAAATTTTCCTTTCTAAAAAATTTTTATTTCCACTTATTTTAGTCTTAGGGAAAAGCTGTAAGAGTAGTGCAGAACATTCCCGTACACCTCTCAACCTAACATTAACACCTTATATAATCATAGGACAATTATCAAAACCAGAAAATCAACACTAGTACAATACAATAAATGGCATCTCTTTCAAATATCACCAAGTTTTTCACCAATGTCCTTTCTTTTCCAGGATCCTACACATGATCCCACATTGCATTTAGCTGTTTTTCTCCCTACTCTCATCCAGTCTCTTCAGTCTTTCTTATGGTATTAGTTTTCAATTGCTTTCAAAACAAATTACAACTTTAGCTTAAAACAACACATATTTATTATCTCACAGTTGACGTGGACCTGGAGTCTGGACTCAAGTTTAGCTGGGTGCTGTCTTCAGGCTGGACTCAGAAGCTGCAAACAAGGTGTCAGCGGGGCTGTGTTCTCATTCAGAGGCTCAAATGAGGAAGAATCCATTTGCAAGTCTGTTAAGACTGTTGGCAGAATCCTTGTGGCCACGTAACTGAGAACCTCAGTTTTTTGCTGGCTGTCAGCTGGAGGATGCCCTCAGGTCCTAGAGGCCACTTACAGCTTCTCGCAACATGGGCTTCTCCAACATTGTCGCTTATTTCATCAAGCCCACAAGGCAGGTCTCTAGCTCCAGTTTGCTACGATGGAGTCTTATATGACCTAACATTATCACAGTAGTGACAGCCCACTACTTTTGCCATACAAAATAAACTAATCCCAGGAGTGACATCTCCTCACCTTTGCCATTTTCTGTTGGTGAGAAGCAATCACAGATCCTGCTTGCACTCCAGGGGAGGGAATTATACAACGGCGTAGACACCAGCAGGTGGGAATCATCAGGCCACCCTGAAGTGTGTCCACCACATCTCCCTACACGCCCTTTTGGCTTTGGAAGAGTACTGGTCTTTTATTTTGTCACATGTTCCTCCACTTGGTTTGTCTGATGATTTCACAATTGGAATGAGGTTATGCACTTGGGGCAGTACAGTAGCACCCATGATCCGCGGTTTCGCTTTCCGTGGTTTCAGTTACCCACGGTCAACCGCGGTCCCAAAATACAGTACGATAAGATACTTTGAGAGAGAGAGAGACCACATTCACATAACTTTTATTACAGTATATTGTTATAATTGCTCTATTTTGTTACTAGTTATTGTTGTTAATCTCTTACTATGCCTAATTTATAAATTAAACTTTATCATAGGTATGTATGTATAAGGAAAAAATAGTACATATAGGGTGTGGCACTATCCAGAGTTTCAGGCATCTGCTGGGGGTCTTTGAACACATCCCTCACAGATAAGAGGGCACCACTGTACTGTCATGATGCCGTCTTTCTCATTGAATCATATCAAAGGGCACACGATGTCAATGCTTTATTACTGGTGATGTTAACCCTGATCCCTGGGTTAAAGTGCTTTCTGCTGGGTTTCCCCACGGTAAGGTGACTTATTACCATTCTCTTTGTAGTCAATATGTATCTTCAGTAGTGGGAAATACTTTGACACTATGCAAATCTTTTTTCTCCCCAAAGTTTCATCCACTAATTTTAGCATCTATCAGTGGATCTTGTCTGAAACAACTATTACTGTGGTGTTTGCCTAATGACCATTTTCTACATCCCTCTTTCTGTCTACATTTAACAATTGGAATCCTACTGTAAGGAAGAGTTGTCCCTTCCTCCCCAGGAAAAGATTTTTTAAACAGAACAAAAATGCAATAGCCATAAAAGAAAAACACTGGTAAATGAGCTCCACTAAAATTAAGAACATTTCTTCATTATTAAGACATCATTAAGAAAGTAAATAAGAAGCTATAGGCTAATAGATATTCTCTCTTTCTCTGTCCGTTTCTGCCTCTCTCTCTCCCCCTCCACACACACACATATGCACACATATGTTTATATACACAAAAAAAGACTTGTATTCAAAATATATCTAAAATACCTACAAATAAATAGGAAAATGGCAAAAAAAACTCTAAAAATGGACAAAAGATTTGAATAGACACTTCATAAGAGTATATCAAAATGGGCAGTATCATATGAAAAGATGCTCACATCATTATTTATCAGGAAAACGCAAATTAAAATCACGAGATACCACTCCACCTGCATCTGAATGGCTAAAATTCAAATGATTGACAATAACAAGTGTCAGCCAGTTTAAGAAGTAACTGGACCCTTCACACATTGCAGTAGGAATGTAAATTAGGTCACCCACCTCCACCCCAGCTATACACCCAGGAAAAACAAGACCATGTGTCCACAAAAAGACTTGTACAAGAACGTTTTAGAATGTTTTATTCATAATAGTCAAATACTGGAAACAACCCATCATCAGGAGAATGAATAAACAAACTGTGGTACGGTCATACAATGGAAGACTACACAACAATGGGGGGGGGGGACCTACCGATTCACAAAACAACATGGATGAATCTCAAAAGTACAATTCTGGACAAAAGGCAGCAGATACGAGAGATTCCATTCACACGAAGTTCAGGAACGGGCCAATTTCATCTTGAGCGAAAGAAGTTGGAACAGCGTTTACCTGTTGTGGGGGAGGGCTGGTTCTAACTGGGACCCGACACAAGCAAATCCTCCAAGGGGGATAGAAATGCTCTAGTCTCGAGCTGGGTGGTGTTTTCAAATGTAAAAGTTCATTAAGTTATATACACAGCTAAGATCTGTGCACTTTCTTACATATATTACATATTTCTATGAAAGAAATGATGATATCTTTATTTGACAATAATGGGTAAAAACATTGTATTTTTTTCTCCTGTTATGGCAGGTAAAATAACATATATGACTATACGCATGTGCATTGAGGGATGGATGAAAGATCTGGAGTAAAATGTTTATAGTGACCATCTCTTCACTTTGGGCTTTTCTGTATTTTCTGAATTACTGCATGAGAATGTACTACTTTTACAATAAAAATATAATCACCCTCTTTGAGATTGGAGGGAGAAATAAAAGGAGATATGAATTTGGTGATCTTTAGGGTGTGACAGTGAGGCTTTATTTTCTCCAAAGGCTTGAAGTCTTTGAGCCAATCGTCTCAAATTGGAACACACATAAACGCGCTGAGTCCTGAGCCCTGCGCTTTGACATGCAGTAGCTTCCTTCTCCTGGTTTTCCCTGAGTCACCTGGACACATCCTCTCGTCACTACACTCTCCACCTACCAGGCCTGGACTCCTTGTTCCAACTCAGGAACTGCACCTGGCCTGGAAACAGAAAAACCTGCACAGGAAAGAAATGGAACTGAGGCATGCTGTGGCTATGGACAAACTCAGCTACAGTCCTGTGCTTAGACGGGCAGAAAGGTCCCGCACAAGAAGAGCCAAAGAAAGCCAGCCAAGGGACCAAGAGGATGATACTGGAAGCAAAACAGAGCAGAAGAATCGCCAAATCTCAAACAGCTCCCTCATAAATTCAAACACTTCAGCCTCCTTAGAGGGTCGCACTGAGGGAACAAAAAAGCTCCAGAGATCCTATTTTCAACTTAAAAATTTGATAAAGACCGTGATCCTGTGAGGTTTTAGTATCCCACCCTTATACAAGTTCTTCTGAGAGGGTGCGATCATCAGTACTGCACCCAGTAAGGCTTCTGCCACGTCCCCACATGTCCCCACCTCTGAACTTACAAAGACCTGAGCTCCCACACAGCTCTGAGAAACTGGAAGAGGTGAAGCTGATTGAGATACGGGGGTGGGGCAGTACGCAGAAGCAGACGTGCTCAGCATTCTGAGCTCTGCAGTGGCTGTTTGGTTAAATACGTAACAAAACAATCATGCAATGAAATATTAAGCAGTCATTAAATGCTAAGTTTGAGAAACTGCTAAAGGAATGAAAATATTCAAGATATAGTAGCACTAAAAAAAGTAGGTAACAAAGACCAAAATCCCAATTAAAAAGTGGGTAAAGAATTCGAATAGACATTTCTCCAAAGAAGATACACGAATGGCCAATAAGCACAGGAAAAGATGCTCAGTATCATAAAGCCATCAGGGAAATTTAAATCAAAACCACAAGACCCACTGCATATCCATTAGGATGGCTATAATAAAAAAGAGAGATAATAACAGGTGTTGGTGAGAATGGGAGAAACTGGAACCCTCAACATGGCTGGTGGGAAGATAAAATGGTACAGACATTCTGGAAAATAATCTGACTTGCCTCAAAAGACTTACTGTATGAACCAGCAATTCCACCCCTAAGCATACATCTAAGAGAAATAAAAACATATGTCTACACAAAAACTTGTACACAAGTGTTCATAGCAACATTATACCTAACAGCTAAAAAAGAGTAAAAAACCCAAATGTCCATCAACTGAGGAATGGGTAAATAAAAGTGGCGTATCCACACAATGGAATATTATTTGGTGATAAAAAGAAATAAGTACTGATGCACACTAAAACATGGATGAATCTTGAAAACACTACACTAAGTGAAAGAATCCAGTCACAGAAGACCACATATTGTATGATTCCATTTCTATGAAATGTCCAAAAGGGATGAATTAATAAAGACAGAAAGCAGACAAGTGGTTGCCTATGGCTGGAACGACTCGGGGAAATGGGTAGCGACTGCTAATGGGTTTAGGGTATCTTTTTGGGGTGATAAAAATGTTCCAAAGTTGACTGCGGTGACGGCTGCACAACACCGTGAATATACTACATATATTAAGTTGTACACTTTAAATGGTTGAATTGTGTGGCATGTGAATTGTATCTCAATAAAGCTGTTAAAAATTAGGTTACAAATGTACAAAATTATATAAACATAAAATATGATTACATATACAAAATATGCATATTTATAAATATAAGGAGAAAAAGTGACAGACATCAATAAATAGAAAACAGTATGGAAAAGTATATATCCATATATTACCATTGCTTATTTATATGTCATAGCCCTGATTTGCTTTCTTTTCTTAAAAGCTTATTTCACTAAATCTTAAACAATGGCCATTCATTAATTTGACACACACTCACAAACAGCTATGTTTTTCATTTTTGTTTTTTTTTATTTTTGAGGAAGATCAGCCCTGAGCTAACATCCACCACCAATCCTCCTCTTTTTTTTGCTGAGGAAGATTGGCCCTGCGCTAACATCCACGCCCATCTTTCTCTAATTTGTATGTGGGATGCCTGCCACAGCATGGCTTGATAAGCAGTGTGTAGGTCTGCACCCGGGATCCAAACCAGCAAACCCCAGGCCACCTAAGCGGAGCGTGCGAACTTAACTGCTGCACCACCGGGCTAGCCCCTATGTTTTTTATTTTTGAAAAGAGCAACTTCTTCTCCAAATGCTGGAAAAAATCCCCCCCTCCTTTAACATCTTTGAACCTGAAAATGAAGCACTGTAGAACAAAGGTCCTCAAAATTTTGTCTCTGGGAACTTGTTAGGAATGCAGATTCTCAAATCCATGGCAGACCTACTGAATTAGAAACTCTGGGAGCGCGCCCAGTAATCTTGCTTGAAAAGCCCTGAAGGTGACTCTGATGCGCCCTACATTTGAGAGCCAGTGCTGTTCTAAAAACAGTTGCTGTGTTTTCACTGAAAGGTTTTCCTTCCTTCCCATGAGTTCCCATGGCCTCAACCAACTCCACGATTTGTTTGCCTACGGAAATGTATGTTCATGAAACCGGAGACTGCGACGTTCTGTACGCATTACCGGTAGTCTCAAGGCAGCTTCCTATTATACATTCCTGATGGATGGGTTTATTTTGCTTCTGAACCTGTCCTCCCAGCCACAATGTCTGCAAACAGCTGTTGAGACATCTTATCCCATTGAATGTCACTTTGCATTTAATATCACTAGAATAAAAACTCTACGGCGTAAAATCCATTTTCCTTCACCGAGTTCTCAAAATCTGCTCATATCCTGGCAACGCCGCTGTAGTCAGAATGACGTGTCTTCCTATAAACTCCCAAGGCAGGTCACCTGAACTTCTCTGGTGGCATTTCACACCTTCTATCTTATTCCTATTCTGATTTCATTTCCTTACTGGATAACAAGTCATTTGAGGATAGCAAATATCTTTTTGTCATTGTATTCCAATGCTTACAAGCATATTGGTATACTGTAAATATCTGGTATTGGATTCAAATTTCAAAACTAGGAATTTGAATCAAATTTCAAAACTAGAAATTTATCCTTGGGGAAATGACTATAAAAGGACATAAAAATCTATGCATAATGATATTCATTATAGAATAATTTAGTTTTTACTCAAGAATTAGAAATTTAGGAGCTAACACTAGGCAACAGGTTAAATAAGTTATGGAGAGAAGGGGGTGGGGACCCTGACGAGGGTGATTCATCTGAGTGGCCCTATGATTTACAGATCTGTCACTATCAGGCAGGACATTTCAGCAGAAGGAAAAGAAGGGTCTCACGTCTTTACAATTCAAGTGTATTTTATGAATAATGAGGAAACACAAGCTCACCTGGACTTTAACTTTTAGATGTGTAACAAAAATTCTTTCCTCTCTCAGGATCCTTTTTTTAGAGACAGGCAGCACTGGGAAAAGAGAAGGCAATCATGAGATATCAGGATTTTCTTGGAAAACACAGTAACTCACAAAACACCCTCCAAGATACATCCTCTCCCCAGGTCCCACACACAACCAGGTGGGCGTAGGAAGGGGCTGGAAGAGAGTTGACCATTCCCTGTTTGAGAGAGGCCGGGGTCACTGATGTCTGGGGCGGAACCTGTCTCTAATTCTGTCTCTAACTCAGGTTCTCGGGGCCCGAGTTCAGGAAATGCTGTGATTATGAAACAGGTAGCTGGCCCCTCCGAGGGTCCAAGGGGGGACCCTCCCAGGAGGGAATCCTACTCTTGGGACCTTATCAGGTCTTCCCGGAACCCTGCCTTGGGGCCGCATCCAGCTTCAAAAAATCAAGATCAAGTCTGTGTCTCTCTGGCATCCTCCCTTCTTCCATTCTAAGGCTCAGAATCTAGCTTCCCTTTTACTC